TATGATTGTCCTTTTACATCTTACATATATATTCATTTTTATATAGACATAATAAATGTCTATGCTATTCTAGTTCTGTGTTCTTCACCTTATGTTATTTCGTATGTCTTTCCATATTTATTTGTATTCTTCACAGTTGTCATTTTGTGGCACAATAGTATTCCATTACATTGATAGATCATAGTTGGATTGTTGTTTTTTTTTTAAACATTCCCCAACCCTTGAATTTCTAGTTTTTCGTATTATAAAGTAGTTGTAAATGTTTTCGTAAATGTACTTTATATTTTTAATTAATTCCTTAGGGTATAGTCCCAGCAGTGGGATCACTGGAACAAAGGGAATGATCAGTTTTGGAGCTCTTATTGTGTACTGCCAAATTGCTTTCCAAAAATTACACTTATTTGTAAATTCTGCCAACATCAGTATGGGTGTACCTGTGTTTCTGCCATCACCAGCACTTTTATTTTTGCCAACTTAATAGATGTGAGGTGGGACCTCAAAGTTATTTTAACTTGCATTTCTTTGATTATTAGTGAGGTTGAATACTTGGTTATTATTTACATTTTGCTTTTCCTCTTATTTTAAACTTAACATATGCTTTGACCATTTATCCACTGGGGACTAAGTCTTGTCTTATAAATTTATGTCAGTCCATTGTAGATTGTGAATGTCAGACTTTTATCTGATAGATTTACCATAGAGATTTTATTCCTACTGTTTTTTTATTCTTCTCTTTGTTTTTACCATTTTTTCATTTTTACATAATCAAATCCATGTATTTTGTTTGCAATAATCTCTTCCATTTATTCAATCGGTAAGATTTTGTCTCTCCTCCACAACTGAGATCATTATGTTAATCGTTTTCTTCTAACTTTTAATTTTTTTTATCTTTAACTCCTGGACCAGCTGGAATTTATTATATATTGTTGAGGTATGAGATCAAACTCATGTTTTACCATATTGCTTCCCAGTTTCCAATCATTATTCATTGAACAATTATTCGTTTCCTCAATGTGTAATATCTCTAAATTCCTTTTACGTAGCTTTAGTTCTATTTCTGGGTCCTCTGTTTGGTCCTCTTTCTCAGATCTCTATTCTGCTCCATTTAGTTCTTCTTAGTACTATATAGGTATTGTAATTACTATTTTTTGATGTTCTTAAAAGTCTAGCAAGGCAAGTTCTCTTTCATCACTTTCCCTGCCAGAGTTCCATAGATTTTTTTTCCCCCTTTGTTTTTCTTTTCTTTTCTTTCTTTTTTTTTTTTTTGGCTAGGCAATGGGGTTAAGCGAATTGCCCAGAGTCACACAGCTAGTAAGTGTTATGTGACTGAGGCCGGATTTGAACTCAGGTCCTCCTGAATCCAGGGCCCGTGCTCTATCCACTGCACCACCTAGCTGCCCCCCCCACTTTGTTTTTCCATATAAATTTTGTAATTTTATCTGGTTCTATAAACTATTGGTATCTCAATTAATACTGCAGTGAAACTATAAATTAATTTGAAAGGTATTGACATCTTTATTATATTGTCTTCTCCTGTACAATGTCCTTTGTTCAAGAGATATCTTTCCAGTTCAGTTCTTCCATTATTTCTGCAAAACTGGTAATTGTCTTTTTATGTGTCTTGGTAAGTTACTATTGAAACACTTTATGCCTATTGTAAATGATATTTTCTATTCTGTTAGTTTTTCTTGGTCTTATTGATAGCATATAAGAGTTCTGATTATGTTTGTGAGTTTTATCTTATATTGTGCTACCTTGGTAAATTGGTTATCCTACTTTTTGTGAGATATTTGTTATCTCACTTCCATTTTTTGTTCAGTCTCTCAGATTTCCTAGGCAGGTTAATTAAACTAATAACATAGGGCCTCCAGGATTTGGCACAGGGCCCACACATAGTGAATACATCATAAATGCTAGTGGAATGATAAATAAACAGTACTAAATAGAGAGTTGTGGGCAGCTAGGTGTCTCAGTGGATAGAGCGCTGGGCCTAGAGTCAGAAAGGCTCATCTTCCTGAATTCAAATGTTGCCTCAGATACTTGCTAGCAGTATGACCCTAGGCAAGTCACTTAACCCTGTTTGCCTCAGTTTCCTCATTTGTAAAAGGAGCTGAAGAAGGAATTGGCAAACCATTCCAGTAACTTTTCCAAGAAAACCCCAAATGGGGTCACAGAAAGTCAGACATTACTGAAAAATAACTGAACACAAATATAGAGTTACATATTCAGTACATTGAGGACATTAACTGAGTATTAAGAAAGAGTAGCATATATTCATTAGTAAAGAAAAGGAAATCATAACATAACCAGTGACTGCTGAATAGAAAATTAGTCAAATTTCATTGATTTTCTTGTTCTTTGGCTTCTTATTCCCTGGCAGCCCTTTAACGAGGTGTTGATAGCATCTCTAAGGACAAAGTAAGTTCTGGACTAGATGGTTTCTTTAGTCTGGGTCCTGTTCTTGGTTGGCATTGTTCTCTTTCTGGCATAGATATGCCTATACATATCAAAGATTGGCATGGGGAAAACAGGAAATAACTTTTCCCTGAAATGCCCCCCAAAATCACTCTTCCTCCCCCTACCTTAAGTAAGGAAGATGTGCTTAGGCATTTCTTGTCATATATAGTTGATCACATCAAGTCCAGATCAAAATGAAGGCCTTTTCAATGTGCCCTGTTCCCAATTTTCTCTTCCAATTCAGATTAGAAAGGTGCAGATTGAATTGCTAGTAGGCTGTGCCCTACTATTCAGCTGAATCCACTCATGGTTCTATACCCCACCCTAAAGTCAGCATACAGTCGTAGAACAGGGAGACCTGCATTGAAAACCCACTGAAGACGCTTGACAGCTGTGTTATTCTGGGCACGTCACTTAACTTCTCTGTGCCCCTTTTTCTTTTCCGTAAAATAAGGAGATTGGACTCTATGACCTCCAAGGTTCCTTCTTGCTTTAAATCTGTGAACTGAGGAGACTGAGAAATGAGCTGGGAGAAACCCTAGACTTAAGGTCAAAGGTGATGAGCTCCAAATCCATTCCAGTAAAACCAAAGGAAGTCTTTTTCAAGAAGCTAATACAAGTGAGAGAACAGGGATTTAAGATCACATCACTTTCCAGGGAGAAATAAAGGCTTATCTTAAAATCACCAGACTTTTTGATCACTGAGACAGCTAAATGGCTCAGTGGATAGAACACTGGGCCTGGAGTCAGAAAGACCCACGTTCAAATCTGGCCTCACACACTTACTAGCTATGTGACCCTGGGCAAGTCATTTAACCTCTCTTTGCCTTAATCCACTGGAGAAAGGAATGACAAACCACTTCAGTATCCTTCCAAAAAAAAAAAAAGCCAGTGAACAGTATTGGCATGCTGTGTCACAAAGAGTCGGACACCACTGAACAACTGAAAAACAACAACAGAAGTAAAAGAGGGGGGATTTCAAGATCACATCCCTTTCCAGGGAGAAATTCAGGCTTACTTTAAAATTACCAGATTTAGGACCTCTTAGCATAAAGGCCTAAAATTCACCAACCATTGTGCTAAGCAATGACAGGGTTACAAGGCCAGATAAGACACTCTCCCTGCTCTCAAAGGAATTTACAAACATGAGTATGAGAGGGAATCAACAATATACACATAACAGCAAAAAAAAAAAACCAAACCCCAAAAACAAAAACACGCCTATGAGTGGATAAGCAGGATCCAGAGGCAACATAGATTAGAGGAGGACAAAGTGCCACCCTCAGCGTCAGGAGGATCTGAGTTCAAATTCTTTCTCTGATAACCAGCTATGTAACCTGGAACAAATCACTTAGCTGCTATTTGCTTCAGGAAAATCTCTAAAATTTAGCTATTAAATCTTTAGGATCAACCTTATATGTTCGTGGATAGAGTAACACCACTGGATATCCTCTATGTGGATGAGCATTTAAGAAAAGTATCTACATAACAGTAGACAAATTCCAAGAATCAAATGAACATGTATGACTTGGGGAGTCAGACTGGGGTTATCCTCCAAAGGCTTCATGGAAGAGGTGACATTTTTGAAGAAGGGTGTAGGATTTTGGCAGGTGGAGGTGGAAGGAGAGAACAAGATGAGCACAGGCAGTCTGGTACAGTAGACCCAGGACTGGTTTGGGAGTCAAAATACCTGGGCTCAAATCACAAATGTACTTTTACTACCTGCAAGAATTTGAGCAAATCACTACCTCAGCTTCCTTGTCTTTAAAATGAGAGGTGTGATCCCCTAATCCAGTTTGGCTTCTCCATGGAACAGTAAGGAGCCCAGTATGACTGGAGGAGTTAGTGTAAAATAGGACCAGAAAAAATGTGTGAAAATGCAGGAGACTGGACTAGAATATCTCTCAAGGTCACTTCCAATATGATGATTCTATAAAATGCTCAGCATGAGACTTCTGTATTAAGTTCACTCATTCTGTTCTCTTCCTCTCTGATGAGCTAAATCTTACACTTCCTTCAAGGCTTAGTTCAACATTTACCACATCAAAAAAGCATTCTCTGATTGATGATTTTGTTAATGACAGGAAAGGATAGTTGTGAGATTATGAACTTTGAACTTTATTTTATAGGCAATTGGAAATTATTGGAGGATTTTGAGTGATAAGTGATCTGATTAGCTCTGTGCATAAGTAAAATTTATCTTGTAGCACTGTGAGAGATGGAATTGGATTGGGGCAAGACTAGACATGGAAAGATTAATTAAGTTACTGCAGTGGTTGAGACCAAAGATAATGAGCGTTTAGATTGGGATGAATGCTGCAGTAATGGAAAGGAAGGGACAGATGGAAGAAATATTACGTAGGAGACCCAGCAGAACTTGGCAGCTCATCGAATGTGGAATATGACAGAGAGAAAAAGAGACAAAAGTGACATTAAGAATTAGATTTTGAGCCTGGTTAACTAGAATATTGAAATCCTCAAGAAGAGATGCTGTGCCCCAACTTTGTGTCTAAGTGTTTGTGTTTGTGTCTGTGTCATTCCAGAAATGTGTCAGCCTACGAGGTTTCCTCCTCCCAGACCATCACTTCTCCTCAGCGATCCAAACGAGTCAAAGAGAATACACCTCCCCGTTGTGCAATGGTACACAACAGCCCTGCCTGCAGCACCTCTGTCACATGTGGGTGGGGCGACATGGCTTCAAGCACCACCAAGGAACGCCAGAGGCAGACAATTGTCATACCTGACACTCCCAGCCCTACCGTCAGCGTCATCACCATCAGCAGTGACACAGATGAGGAAGAAGAACAGAAGCATGCCCCCACCAGGTAAGATGATAAAGTGTGTTCAGTCCAGTGAGATTGCCCGGGTATGTAGAAAGTTAGGCTAAAACAAAATCTCTGGTGTCATCTGGATCAATCCGTCATAATCAAGGAGTCAGACAACAAGCATTTATTAAGTGCCTACTATACACCACACACTGTGCTAATTGGCTCTGGGGATACAAAGTCGGAAATGAAACTGTCCTTGTCCTTGAGATGTTTCCATTTGATTAGGAGACCACACACACATATAGAAGTATATTAAAAGTAAACATAAGGTAGTTTGGGTGGGGAAAGGAGAACTAGTCATCTGTGGAGATAAGCTGGAAGGGCCTCATGCAAAAGGTAGTTCTTGAGCTGAGCTTTGAAGGAAACTAGGGATTCTATGAGGACGAGGAAATGAGTGGGACATTGGCACCAAGACAGGAGATGGAGAATTATGTATGAGGAGCAGCAAGATGGCTGCTTAGACTGTGACACGCACGAAGTGGGTAATGATTAACCCACCCCAGAGTGTTGCCCGTTGTGTTGAGGGTATATCACAAATGTTTACAAAAAATCTTGATTAGAGTAAGTTTTATGTAGTATAGCACTTGGAGGTGTGATTGTTACAGAATTAAATCATAGTGTTTTAGCTCCAAATGATTCTGAATCTGTGCCTCGCTCCATACCAAAATAGTCCAGGATTTTCTTTTATTACAGTCTCAGATTCTTTGGAATCTTCCATAAATGTCTAATGAAGCACAGATATACTTTCTCTGATGATCAGACTCTGATCAGGTTTTGCACACTTCAAAATGCTTTTTCATCCAGTGTCTGTAACACTTTATTCTAGGGAAGTAATAATTCATTGTATTCCTTGTTCTTCCTGGGAAGGAGAGAGCATGTATCTGCAAATCAGATAAATTCTGCAAAGCTGAATTAACACCACTGTCACAGCCTATCCTCCCATATTTTCGTGTTGTACAGTAGTAAATTGCAGTTTCTGTCTAGGCCGGTGCGCTTAAGTAGTTATAACATGGTGCTAATGAGGTTGCTAAGGTTTGCTAAAGCCCGTTCACCTCTCTCTAGTAAGGTCTACAGGTCTACACACACACACACACACACACACACACACACACACACACACACACGCACACTCTCTCTCTCTCTCTCTCTCTCTCTCTCTCTCTCTCTCACCCTCACCCTCACCCTCTCTTTCACCCTTTTAGGTGCTGCATGTGGATTCTCTGTGAAGCCTAGCCATTGATGCTTTATTATGCCTACTTGTTGTATCTTGTGAAGTGGGAATAAGCCTCTAGGGAGGTGTGCACTCCACTCTTAAACCACAAAGCCAGTAAATTAACAATCAAGCACACATCTTATGAGTGGATATAAAACATTAACATCTGTAGTCTTACTCAAAATATTAATTTATTATCAGATACAACATTATAATCATGCTCCATTAGTAGTCACATCATTTTGATTGAATAATAAATGCTCACTCTTGTAATTCATCTATCATTACAAAATATCACTGTGATTGGTTAAAATGCACTTGCACTGTAGCAGCCCCTACATGGTGCCTACCAATTATCTGTCACACATAAAACCAAGCTAAGCATGTTTATTTATGACCACGCTTGCCTTGCCACAATATAGCCTGTCCTAAGCCCCCTTTTTCTCTTCAATCCTGATCTTAACAAAGGTGCTGTCCCTCAGGTTCTTTCATCTGTTTCCTGTACACTGATTCTAGACCTTACCCTTCTTGAATGTTTCTCCTTTTTCCTGTGGTCCCGACCTACTGCCAAATCTCCCTCCTGATTAATCCCTAAGGCACACCAACCAGATTACAGGTTCAGTTCCAGGTTTAAAGATTGCATCCCTAAGCTTTATTAGCTTTGTCACAGATAGCTGTTGTTGTTTACAGTGAGAACCACACAACTAGAAAATAATAAAACAATCTGACAGGATCGCATATTTATTTCTGCAAGGGGCCTTAGAGGTCACTTAGTCCAACACTTTATTTTACAGATGAGGAAACTAAGGCCCAGAGAAGTGATATGGCATGTCCAAAGTCCCCCAGGAAGTGAGAGAGCCTTAGGGCTAGGGCTGTTTACACTATGCAGCACTGCTTCTCCTCATCCTCCAGCTGGTGATCAGGGTAGTGTCTGGGTCAAGGTTAGTGATCGGAAGAAGTGGGCAGTAGAGAGAGGTAAAGAGAAGATGGGCCAGAGTACAAGGCAGCTTTTAGAAACAGGAAGAAGCCACTTGTTGGTCTGTTGAGCATTAAACCAAAGTGTCAGGGAGAACAGAGTTGCCAAGCCCAAGATGGAAGAAAAAATTGGAGTCGGACGGCGTAGGGCAAGGTCATCTATCTGAGAGGGAGAGTAGGAATGGGAGTAGGGAACACAGGGTCAGAATGAACTAGAAGGAGATCAAGAAATGCCAATGCAATACACAAGCTTCTAGTCCAGCAACTAAAGGAAAAATTGCAGAGCACCCTCCTCGCTCTGTGCCATGCTCCTGTTTGAGATCTGTGCATACACTGCCTATCAGTCAGGCAGTTGACAAGCTTGAGAAATGGCCAGAACTAAAAGCCAAAGCTTATATATTCTTCTGCGTTAATGTTAAAAGCCATAAAAATTAAAATGATCATAACCTTTCTATTGCTTCCACTGCCATTTTCCTAGTCATCCAAGCACAAAACCTTGTATTCACCTCTCTTCCTTCTACCTTACTCCCCCACATTCTATTAGTTGCCAAGTCCTATCTAGCCCTTCTCCATAATAACCTTGCATCCATCTCACCCTCTCCAAGCACACTTCATCACCTCTCCAATTGATCCTTCATAACATCTACAAAAATAAACTTCCTGATAAACAGATTCGACTTTCTTTTGTTCAAAACCCTTCATTATTGTCCTGTTAACTACAGGACAAAATATTAACTCCTTAAATTTAAGACCCCCCACCATCTGACTTCAGCCTAACATATCTCACTCCCACTTTATGTTCCAGCCAAACTCACTGCTCTTTGATCTCACTCTATTCTCCCCCAACTCTATGCACTTGTAAAAGCAATCTGTTCCCAGGTCCAGTGGCACACAGCTGTGATCCCTGCTACTGGGGGGGGCTGAGGCTAATGGAACACTTGAACTAAGAAAGTTCTGAGCTGTAGTAGGGCTAAAGCCATTCCAATATCCACACTAAGTATGGCATCAGTTATATACATAGTGAGCCCCTGGGAGTGAGAAGCCATCAGACTGCCTAAGGAGTGACAAACCAGCCCAGGCTGGAAATAGAGCAGATCAAGATTTCTGTGCCAGTCAGTGGTGGAATTAAGCCTGTAAGTGGCTGTTATACTTTCAGCCTGGGTGAAAATCCAGTTTCCAAAAAAAAAAAAAATTTAATCTCACCATTCATAGAAAGCACCCTTTCTCATCTCTGCCTGTTAAAATCTTTCATTTCCTTCATGGTACTGCTCAGGTGCCACCTCCTCCATGAATCCTGCTGGATCTTCCTATTTGAAAATGGTCCCTCCCTCATCGGATTTTCCTAGAACACCTTGTCTGGGTCCCTTTTTTTTTTTTTTAACCTCTCTCACATTTTACCATGTATCATACTGATTTGTATGCATGTCGTATCTACCCATCAGTACGTAAACTCCTTGAGAGCAGAAACTGTGTTGTTTGTTTTTTATTTTAAATTTTTGTATTTCCAGAATCTTGCAAATAAATATTTGTTGAATGTAGTTGAAGTTGGAATGCTTAGCAACAACTAAGGACCTTGGTATATTTGGCAATTGAAAGACTTTGTGGAAAGATAAACAATGAAATATAGTACTTCTAAGAAGAATGTCTATAAATAGAAATCCCGTAATTAATGGGGATTATGGACAATGACCAGAGGAAGTCAGAGCAAGCCATAAGCTGGAGATACTCTGTATATTAGCCAGGCTAATAAGAATGCACTGGAAAGAAATAAAGTTGCAGAAGCTCCAGAATTCACCCTGGTCATAACAATGGAGGACTTTAGCTGTCCACAGATTAATTAGCAGAACACATTATAAAGGTAAGATATGGTAAGATTTTTAAATAATACTTCTCTGGGAAAGTAATTTTAGAACCCATGAAGAAAGCGAAAATACAATACTTGATTCTTTGTGAGGCACAGGAAATAGTTCAAGAGGTGTCCATGGGTGAACAACTATGTCATTCTGATCATAACTAGACTAAGTTTAGCATTCTGACGAGAAGAAAAGTCAAAGAATATGATTATGCTGTTAATCGATAATAGAAAAAGGCACTGCAATAACATGTAGCCTTGTGGGGGAATGAAAAGAATAGATTAAAAATGACTAGATTACTCAGATAATGCCAAGAGTGGTTAAAAATTCCTTCTTGGAAAGACAGGACAAATGTGTGCCCCACAAACTGAAAAATCGGTCAAAATAAAGCCCTGTGTGGCTAATTAGAAAAGTAAGAAGTCACTGCAGTGCAGTGATCGTGGGTGTGAGCATCTTTTGATTGAAGGAAGATTCCTATGGAAAAACAAGGAAACTCACACAGAACATGACAGATTGGGTACAAATAGGGAATTAGAGAAGCCAAAAAGAGTTTGAATAGGAATTCTTAGGGACACTATAGCTTCTTTAAATAAAATAGAAGCTATAATGCTCATTAGTATCAGGACTCTGGGAGGATACAGGTAAGCAAAATGTACAGGGATTACCCTGCAGACTAGAGACAAAAGGAAGAGGGGACACAGTCAGGTGAACTCTAACTACAGTATGTCTCTCCCGCTTCTAATTCTAATGTCTGCTGTTCCTGACCTTGGCTTAGCTAGCCTGACCATAGGATCGTGATTTTAGAGCTGGAAGGGACCTTAGAGGCCACTGAATGCAACCACTTTGTTTTACAATGGAGGAAACTTGAGTCACAAAGAGGTTAAGTGCCTTGCCCAATTTCACATAGTTTTAACAAGTGCCTGAGTTGGGTCTTGAACTCAGGTCTTCCTGACTTC